AACCCTAAACCCTAAACCCTAAACCCTAAACCCTAAGCATTAGCCTACGTTCAGATGTTGGGTTTTCTGATCGGAGCCGAACTCAGCCAGCTGTGTTTCACGGGCCTCGGGCTGAAGAAACACTTTATGCAAACCCTAAACCCTAAACCCTAAACCCTAAACCCTAAACCCTAAACCCTAAACCCTAAACTGTAGTCTCTCAACCCGAATTCTTGTGGCTGGAAGGAATGCTTTTTGTCTCAAGCAACGCAAACAATACACCTCAAACCCTAAACCCTAAACCCTAAACCCTGACCTTTGGGGGCATGCAAAGAGCACATTCAAAGAAACGGGAGTTAGAGAGAGAGAACTTCAGCTCTTGCGCCGAGAGCTTCGGCCTCATATTGACCTGCAGCAAACCCTCACAAACCCTAAACCCTAAACCCTAAATCCTCAACCCTAAACCCTAGCCATTTGCCGCATACCTGGCTAAAAACTTAGGAAAAAAGTTTCACTCTGGAGGGTTCAGGGTTTAGGGTTTAGGGTTTAGGGTTTAGGGTTTAGGGTTTAGGGTTTATGTTACCCAGAAGTTTTCCTGATTCCACAGAAAATGAACGGATAAGAAAGGAGATTTGCTCTGCTCGTAAATCCTACCTGATGTGAAAGCTCAAAACCCTAAACCCTAAACCCTAAACCCTAAACCCTTACTGCAGAGCTCTCTCTCCCGAAACATTCGCTACCCGCGTCCTGGGTCACTGGTGTTTTTCTCCTATTCAAGGGTTTAGGGTTTAGGGTTTAGGGTTTAATTAGGGTTCAGGGTTTAATTAGGGTTTAGGGTTTAGGGTTTAGGGTTTAGGGTTTGTCACCGCTGGGAGGGTCTATGAAGAGGTCAGTGGAGACATTTCGCGTTCCTGCCTTAACAAGAGCCCAGCAATGAATTCGTTTGTTTTTAAGCGGATCCTTTGCTGCTGCTTCTGCTGCTGCTTCTGCTGCTGCTGCTGCTGCTGCTGCTGAAGCACGAGCAGCTCCTTCTTCGCTTGAGAAGGAAAGCTAAAAGAGAACACAATATTGTCTCCGTAGCCCCAAGTTGAGGGTTTAGGGTTTAGGGTTTAGGATCGGGGATTTAGGGCTAGGGTTTGGGCGACTGCACGGTCTACGGTTTAGGGTCTAGGGTCTAGGGTTTACGGAGCGTAGGGGATTACGGTTAAGGGTTTAGGGTTTAGGGTTTAGGGTTTAGGGTTTACGGAGGCCATAGCTTCTCTTTCTCTCTTTCTCTCCTCCGCGAGCTTTTCCAGTTCTTCATATCGCAAGGGTTTTGGGAGTTCTATTTGAAAGCCTGAGGCGTCTTCTCCCTACAACGCCAAACCCTAAACCCTAAACCCTAAACCCTAAACCCTAAAGTTTGCGTCCTAAACTCTAAACCCTAAACCCTAAACCCTAAACCCTAGAACTTGAACCCAGGGATTTGGTGCGAAGGCGCGCTGACGGCTAATGCGGGGATGCTCAGTCCCAGTGGTTCAGGTTCTGTGTTTAGGGTTTAGGGTTTAGGGTTTAGGGTTTGCGTTAGATTCAGTACCTGTGCATGCGTTGTTGCACTGGAGGGGTCTTGAACTCCTTCCGCGTGTTGCGGTGTACGTTCAAATGGGCAGTCATCTTGACTCTAAAGAAGACAGCAGCAATTGGGGTTTAGGGTTTAGGGTTTAGGGTTAGTGTCTTTGTGCATTTGGAGCACCTTCATGAGGAGTATTGAGGGTTTAGGGTTTAGAGTTTCGGGTTAGGGTATTTCTATAGAAGCGCCTACGCTTATGAAGCAAACCTTATATACTCCAGGGTTTAGGGTTTAGGGTTTAGGGTTTAGGGTTTAGGGTTTAGGGTTTAGGGTTTATGACCTGATCGTTGTTGGTGATATGTTGGGGAGCGGTGCCGACAACACAATATGCATCAAAGCCAGCACCGAGCAGACAAGAAACAAGAAAGAGAGATAAATCAAAGCTGTCTCCTCTTCTTGAGCTGTATGTACAGCTCAGAGAAGGCATAGAGGTAGGATATGCATCTGCAGGCTGCAGCACTTCATAGCTGAAGAACCCCGCGACAAACGAAGCAAGACTTTCTAAGAAATACAGATCCCTAAAGCAAACAATAATAAACAAATATATAAATATATAAATATATATAAATATCTACATATATACATATATTTATATGTGAATGGCTGTATGTAGTTGTGCAGATATAAGAGATAATTTTTTGCTGCTGCTGCTGCTGCTCGCGCTTGTGCGGATTCTGCTGCTGCTGCGGGTGCTCCTGCTGCTGCTGTTGTTGCTGCTACAGCACCAAACGGAGCGGAAAGAACAGCAGCAGCAGCAGCAGCTCATCCATATATACTGCAGCAACAGCAAGACCAGCCGCAGCAGCAGCAGCAGCAGCAGCAACCGCAGCAGCAGCAGCAACAGCAACAGCAGCAGGACTGACGGGTGAGGGAGTAGAGTTGGGTTTAAAGAGGAGCAAACAAATTTTAAACAACCATATTCATTCGGAGGCGCTAAAAACAAAAAGCGATCGCCAAAAAGAACCCGGAACTGCAGCGCAACCAAACCCTAAACCCTAAACCCTAAACCCTAAAACCCTAAACCCTAGAATGTGAACTGGTTTGCCTCAATACGAGCGGAATCGAAACACGTAGCTCTAAAACCCTAAACCCTAGACTGTACAACCCTGAAACCCAAATACACCTCAGCAGGCGATAGGCAAGCCAAACCCTAAACCCTAAACCCTAAACCCTAAACCCTTAAAACGGAGGGTCTGGCCTCGCCTGCGACTCAAACAGCTTCAGCTGCTCCAAAACAACTTCTTCGTGGGGGCTATTCTTTGTATAACGCCAGGAGGGAGCTGGACTAGCCGCAGCCTGCGGTCCGACAAACCCTAAACCCTAAACCCTAAACCCTAAACCCTAATCCATAACCCATGGCAATTGGCAGGTGATCCTCAGCATCCAAACCATGAAAATCTTCTGCGTCTCGTCGTCCCCTTAAGCGCTCGGCAGGAGAAGGAGTTTAGGGTTTATGAATTAGGGTTTAGGGTTTAGGGTTTAGGGTTTTCTCAGGAGAAGAGGAGCCGCGCACTTCTCTGCATCGTTGCAACTTGGGGCTCAACACTTCATCGGCTGTTTCTGCGCTCTTTACTCCGCTGCTCTGATCTTCGGTGGCTGGCATGGCGGCTCTGAGGTGTCTGTACAGCTGGAGATAAATGCAGCTGTTTAAACAGCAAAGTCTGCGGGCGGTAGCTAGAAGGCTTTGTTTCCCTAGTTAGGAAGCCACACGACAGAAGCTCGAGTTACACTAAGGTTTAGGAGGTTTGGATTATCATTTAGGGTTTAGGGTTTAGGGTTTAGGGTTTGCGCTGCGATCGCCTTCTCTGTTTGCTCGGGGGCTACTGCGTAGCGGCATTTGTTTAATAGGAGTTGTTTGTTTCTTCGTCTGAAAAAAAGACTTCAAATAGTCTTTTAAGTGTAATTAAATCGATTAAATGTTAGTTTTTCTATATTTATGCTGTTGCAGACAAGGAAGGTCATTAGCTAAGGTGTCTAGACACCCGAGATCTGCGCCTTCTTGGCTATAAATGCAGGCAAAAATATTCAAATTTTTAGCACTTGATGCTTTATTTTTTTATTTAGAAACATTTATAATTAAATATTTTCCCTACAACTCAAGTTCTACAAGAAAACACTGAAATACACCGCAGTCAATAGAAGCCCCAGGCGGCACGCAGCCCCCAGCCAGCTGCGCTGGAGGCGATGTGCATGCAGTAGATGGTTTTTAGGAGTTAATTAAAACATTTTTAAGCATATTAATTTATTACTTATTTCTTTTGATAGACTCTACAACATTTCTTGTTGCTGAAAACTTTCAATCTGCACGAGCAGAAGTTGTTTGGCGTGCTGCATGCAGCAGCCCCCACGCAGCGAAACATACTTTTCTTTAAATTTGAATAATATTTATTCTTATTCTTACTTATGTTTTCAAAATTTTGAATCCAAATAATACTCCTTTAATATATTTGCCGCCCCTCTCTGCTACTTTTTGCTTGAGGTTCCTGAACTCAGCAGTGCAGCGAAGTCGCGGTGTATCTTCTCTCTCCTCTGTCGATTCATAATGAAGAATATAAAGAAAAAGAAAAGAGGGGCTCTTCCTCAGCCCTCTGCCGCTGCAGGGGGGGCCCTAACCGATTCTGCTGCTGCTGCTGCAGCAGACTCTGGAGTAGAACTCGGTTCATCCTCAGCAGCAGCAGCAGATCACTCTGCAGCAGCAGCAGCAGACCAATCCGCATCAGCACCAGCAGATCCCTCTACAGCAGCACGCGGAGGGCAAGAGCTTGCTGCTGCACCGAAGAAGGATATCTTGGAACCTGCAAGCAGCAGCAGCAGCAGCAGCAGCAGCAGCAGCAGCAGCAGCAGCGAGGGTCGCGGTGTGGTGTATATTGCTGAAATACCTCCTGGTTGGAGTCGAACTGCTTTGATTCGCTACTTTGAAAGATTTGGAGAAGTGACGAGAACCTTCCTGAATGAGAAGAGGAAGAAAGGGGGTCGAGGTGTATATACAGATGGATGGATAGAGTTTAAAAAGAAGAAATATGCAAAAAAAATTGTTTCTTTAATGAATGGACAGCCAGTAGGGGGGAAGAAGAGGCAAAAGACTTCTCAGCATTTGCTTATGCTTTCTTATTTAAAAGATTTTCAGTTCACCAGTCTTTATGATGATGCAATGCATGTTAAAAGAACAAGACAAGATAGGCTTAATGCACAGATGGCTAGAGTAAAGAAGGAAGCTCAGATGTACGTAGATTTGCTTGAGCAGAAACACTCAAGAGAGCAACTGCAGCAAAGAATAGACAGAAAAAAAAGAAAACAGAACTCAGATATGCAGCAAACGCACATCTTTGATGGAGCAGCTGCTGCGGAATTCAAACCCAATAAAAAAGAAATAGATGTGCAGCAGAAACGCTTTAAAAAACAAGAAAATAAAACACAAGACAAGCCACAACACCAACCAACCTATACACCAAATACTTCCGTCGGTCAGGACATCCTGCAACTCTTTGCAGCCTGAAGAACAAAACTCAAAAAAACATTTTCTTTTTTTAATTGTATTTGACTAATCAATATCACGAAGCTCTCTCTAGCTTTCTCTCCTCCTCTCTTGCAGCGAGCGCCCTCTGAATCTCCGCCGCTGCAGAAGACAGGAGACAGCAGCAAGCTGTTATATATATAGTGATATATATATGTATATATTTATAGTGAGATGACAGCAAAAGGGAAAGCTTGAATGAGTCAAAGATATGCATTCAAACTCACGAGGCTGCTGAAGAGAATGTATACACTGTCTAGAGACGTGATGAGTTTGAACACAAGTAGATAATAATAAATAGATTGACTGTGATGAGTTTGAATACGAGTAGATACTAGTAAATAGGTTGCCTGTGCTACATGCAGTAGTGCAAAATAGGGGGCTATGAACGCAACAAAAACAGACAAGTGAATGCATGAATGAAGCAGTCTTCTTCCTGTAGTTGGAGAGAAGAAAGGAAAGGGGAAGACGGCGCCCTAAACGGAGTAAAGGGAGTTTCAGAAGCAATGAAAAACACAGAAAACACTTGAGAAATGCTACGAAACAAAAAGAAACTTTTTAATAAAACCACTCTGAGGTGCCTAGACACCTGAAACGACGCTGGAAAGCAGTGCGATTATGCACGAATTCGCGAATAAAAAATGTTTATTTTTGTGGAAAAGGCTGAAAAACAGTCATTTTGTTTCATAAATACAAATGAATGCAAAAATAATTTATTTTTTCTTCCTCAAGACCTCAGCGGTTTCCGCTGTCCGGTCGTTCGCGTTTGTTGGGTTGCCCCAGGAAATGAACAGCTTAGAGGTAGACGGCGTTTGTTTGTGTATGAAATTAAATCAATTATTTCTTTTATTTCTTTTATTTTACAGAATGGACCTGTCAATAATATAGTTCCCCTATCCTGGAAACGGCCAGGTGGCTTAGAAACGTTTCAGCCTCCTCTGGGTGGGTATTCAAGATTGATGTTTTTGTTTGTTTCTGCTAATATAGGTGGTTAATCTAATAAACTCCGTATTTTCTCATATTTTCTCTGCTTTGCAGAGCCCTTGAAGCTCCAAAACGCGGCGCCATATGCAATTAATCAGCAGTTTCCACTTCAAAGTGGCTATGCTCTCCCGTACATATTTCCTGAGCGAGAATATACTATAAGCAAACAGAAAGAAGAAGGCCCGCCGCCACCAGGTGCGTGATCCCGCTACTGCGTGTTTTAATGAAGAAATACAAAAACAATCTGAATGAAAACCCTTTCAATGGGGCATGGAAGAAGAAATAATCATGAAAAAGAATATTTTTACTCGCAAAATATTAATTTGCATTGTTGCTTTCTCACGCTTTTATGACACATAAAAGCGTGAGAAAGAAGCAATGATAATTAATCTCTTGTTCATTTTCGTTTATTTCAGGAATAATTTATCAGAAGAAGAGACAAATTCCCTGCTATCCTGTTGGTGAGGTTATATAAATATATATATATATATATATATTGTTTTCTTTGTTTTGCATGAACTAAATAAAAACTAAAAACAGAGGCTGACGGAGAACCTCTTGCTGGATTGCAGCAGCAGAACATCGAGTCTAAAAATGTTGTTTACTCGGATACGCCTCCTTACGGGTATGCACACTGTGAAGCAAAAGAAAGGAGCAGCAGCAATCCTGAGTGCACGTACATATATGCATGTATATACAATATATATATATATATAATATGCTATATAAGGATGTATATATAGTATGTATGGATGCTATATAAGAATGTATACATAATACATGCATATTATGATTATTATTATTTGTTATTATTATTATTATAATATTGAATTCAAATCTATTAGGCTTGTCCCTCAAGGCAAAAGAAGACTAATGAAGATAATTCATTTGTCTTCTCCTTTGTCTTCTGTACAATCTGCTGCTGCTCCTTCTGTAGAGAAGAAAAAGAAGAGGACCCTAGCGGAGGTGCTAGGGGGGTTTATGCAGATACCGATTCACAGCCTAATAGGAGGAAAGATGCTTTAATTTGTTTTATTTATTCAATAAAAGCACAAAAAGAATTTAATTCAGGCTTTTAAAGAAGAAAAAACTTCCTTATCTCGCTTTCAAATGTACACTCCGTGCAGAAACTCCTACGGTTGTTGGGGCCCCTCAAGTGAACTGCAGGAGCGACAGGAGAGGGAAATAGAGTATAAAAACCTTTTAAATAGTATTTCAATTTAATTTAATTTAATTTCTAAAAACAAAATATATTTTTTTATTCATTTGTAAGCAAACAACACCCACATTATCCCTTCCCTTCACAGTCCGCGGCCGACGGCAGCACGAGGTCCATTGCGTCTTTCTTCTTTCTTTTTTCTCCCTTTCCTTTTATTTATATCTTTAATATATCTTAAATATCGTTTTAATGCTTTTATTATTATCTTCTTCTCTAAATAATACACCAGGACCGCCAAACACCACCGTCTTCAACCCCGCTGCCTTTCAATCTCACCGCGACCTCTGACGGCTGTTGCTGCTGCAGCAGCAACCGCTGCTCTTCTTGCTTCAACGCTGTTACGCCCTGCAGCAGCAGCTAATGCTGCAGTTGCTGCAGAAGCTGCAGAAATTGCAGCAACAGCAGCAACTTAGTTGCAGGGCTGCACCAGGAGAGCTGCAGCAGCACAATGCACAAGCAGCAGCAACAGCTGCAACACGAAAGGAATCTATGGGTGAATACTCCTTGCTGCCATCCGCAGGCCAAGCAACAGCAGCAGAAGCAGCAGAAACAGCAACAACACCAGCAGCAGCATCAAAAAGCAGAAGCCAGCTGCAACAGGCGTGCGCGGAGCTGCAGCACGTGCAACAGTAGCAGCAGCAGCAGCAGCAGCAGTAGCAGCCTGTGTCTGCTGCACCCTACCCGAACCTTCGATGTGGGGTGCCCCCCTAATTTACTGCATTTTGAAAAGGGTCCCCCTCAGGCACCAGAAACGAATTTGAAGGTCTGCTGCTGCAGAAGAAGTTCTTCGTGCAGCAGCAGCAGCAGCAGCAGCAGCAGCAGCAACTGCAGAAGCGGCATGGCGCGGATGGGTGTCAGGCAGCGACACTTGCAGCAGCAGCAAGTGCAGCAGCAAGAGCTGCAGCAAGTGCAGCAGCAAGTGCAGCAGCAAGTGCATCAGCAAGTGCAGCAGCAGCAGATGCACCGCCAGCCCATACAAGGTGGTGCTGCGCATTGTGAGGCACAGGCGCCCCCTCAGCATCAACAGAAGCAACTAAAGCAGCAGCAAAAGCAGCTGCAGCAGCAGCAGCATGGCTCAGCAGCAGCAGAAAATCTGTGGTGCTCTCCTAATATATCTCAAACCCTACGTCAGACTCTTAGGAGGCATCAATCAGCGACTGAACGATCTGTGAGCGTTTAGGGTTTAGGGTTTAGGGTTTAGGGTTTAGAGCCGACTTAGTTTTCGCTGTCTTCATTTAATCTTCGGGTGAACATCTGCGGCTGCGATTGGAAGGCAGGCGCCGCCCTCGCGTCACTGTTTAGGGTTTAGGGCTTAGGGTTTAGGGTTTAGGGTTTGGTGCGTGCAGCTGCTGGAGCTGGAGAAGGCAGAAGCTGCAACAGAAACAACTTTAAAGGAAACAATTGCAGAAATACAAAACTCACAGATGCGAGCAGCAGCAAACGCCCGACTGTCTGAGCAGCTGCAGAGAGATATCAATGAAGCCACCCACAGCCTCCTTGTAAACCCTAAACCCTAAACCCTAAACCCTAAACCCTAATCGCGAGACGGGGAGATTCGAACGAAGTGCTCAGCAAGCCTATTGGTTGGGGCGGGCGGCACCAGCCGGACCCTAGTCCTTGCAAGGGCTTAGGGCTTAGGGCTTAGGGCTTAGGGTTTAGGGTTTAGGGTTTAGGGTTTGGAGTGCTCAGGAACACGAAAAAGACCTTGAACTCGCCATTGAACAGCTCACGTCCTTGAAGTGAGCAGACAACATTGGCGGCGTCCAGGCCGTCTAGAGCTTAGGGTTTAGGGTTTAGTGTTTAGGGTTTAGGGTTTTGTGCTGTTTCGTTGGCCACCGCAGGAAGGAACAGCTTCAATTCTCTTCTTGTACAGGTAACGCTCTAGAGCGTAGGGTTTAACGCTGGGTGTTTGAGGTTTAGGGATTAGGGTTTAGGGTTTAGGGTTTGTGTGCAACTGCAGAGGACTCAAAGGCGAGAGAGCAGGAGGAGGTTTCAACTGGCGGCCTCACGGACGAAGAATCAGTAAACCCTAAACCCTAAACCCTAAACTGCAGGTCTAGAAATGCCTCGAGGAGTTTCATGGATTGGTTAGGGTTTAGAAAGTAGCTAGCGTCAAGGGTTTAGGGTTTAGGGTTAAGGCTGTTCCTTCGTGCAGCTGGCGGTAGACACGGAGCTGCTTCGAGTGTCTCAGGAAGTTAAGGTGAGGGCTAAAGCCTAAACCCTAAACCCTAATCCGCAACCTCTAAACCCTAGACCCTAAACCCAAAACCTCCTAATTCTAAACCCCAAACCCTAAACCCTAATCGTTCAACTTGGGGTTTTGTTCAGCCTTTTCCTCCCAAAGCGCGAGAGGCAATCTAGGGTTTAGGGTTTAGGGTTTAGGGTTTGCGTTGCTGCAACAGAAGACGAAAGACACCGAAAAGGAAGCAGCTGAGAAGGTTGGGCGTCTGAGGCAGCAGCTGCTGCTGCAGCAGCAGGAGAGACACAGGAGAGCGCTCTATAAACGCATGCAGCAGCTGCAGCAGCAATACGAGGAAATTGGACAGAGGTAATTTTCGCTGCTGCTGCAGTTTCTGCTGCTGCTGCTGCAACTGCTGTCGCAGTTGCCTCATGCTGCTGAGCCCTGTAGCCTTGCTGCAGTTGATTCTACCGTTGCTGCTGCTGTTGCTGCTGCAGACAGATAGAGCTGCAGCAGCTGCAGCACTGGTGGGAGGCCTACGGGCAGCGGCAGCTCCTGCACGAGCGGCGACAAGCGCAGTTGCTGGTGCAGGTGAAACCCTAAACCCTAAACCCTAACTACCGAGCAGTAGCCAGCGCCGGCTCTCAGGGTTGCGATTTAGGGTTTAGGGTTTTGTGCATTTGTGTGCAGCAAAAGAAGTCCTTCCGAAGGGCATCAGAAGGGTCTGCTGCTGCTGCTGCTGCTGCACCAACGGGCTCGCTGCTGCGGCGTCTACCGCCATACTTGCAGCAGCAGCAGCAAAAGAAGCAGCCAGTAGCTGCTGCAGCACTTGAAGCCGTTGGGAAGCAGCAGCAGCAGGAGCAACGGCAGCAACAGTAACTGATAAGGCGGCTAGACACGCTGACCGAAAGGCTGTTTCGCTACGGCGTGCAGCAGCAACTGCAGCAGCAACTGCAGCAGCAACAGCAGCAGCTGCTGCTGAGTTCGGGGACTTGGCCTTAGAGGAGGGTTTGGTGTTGCGGTGTACATCCAGCGTACTGCGCAAGGGCTACAGCTGTCTCAGACAGCATAGACAGCAGCAGCAACTGCAGCAGCAAGACCTACAACAGCAGCAGCAAGATTTACAGCGTACAGCAGCAGTGGCGAGGCGAGCAGCTGCAGCAGCAGCAAGACTCAGAGATACAGCAACACCAAAATCTACAGCAGCAGCGTCAGAAAGATCAGCAGCAGCAGAAACTGCAGCGGCACCGCAAGCTGCAGCAGCAACAGCAGCAGCAGCAGCACAGGCCGAGGGCCGTCTGCCGCCGTGCGTCGTTTGTCGACGCAGCAAATTAATCAAGATTTGTAGCTGCTGCTGCTGTTGCAGCAACTAGTGCAGCATCTGCTGCAGCAGGTGTTCGCTGGTGCTGCTGCTGCTGCTGCTGCTGTTGCTGCTGCTGCTGCTGCTGCTCGCCGGCCGTGGCTGCTGCCTCGCGTCTGAGGGCATTTGTTTGTTTTGTTTGTCGGTGTGTAGAGATATAAAAAGCAGAATAAACAAAAGTAAACTGTCTATACAGCAGAAACGCAGCAAAACAATGGGCTAACCTCCATAGAAAGCGGCAGCTGCTGCAGCAGCAGGTGCTGCAGGAGCAGCAGCAGCAGCAGCAGCAGCAGCAACAGCGAGTGCTTTGGCAGCAGGAGCAACAGGAGCGGAAGCGTTGTCTGCCGCAGCAGCGACGCCAACGCGTAATGCAGCAAGAGCAAGTGCTGCAGCAGCAGCAACATCAGCAGCATGAAGAGCAGCGTGCTGCTGCTGCTGCACCAGCTGTAGTCCTTGCGGGGGCCCCTCAGCAGGGGTGCGCCCAGCAGCAGCAGCAGCAGCAGCAGCAGCAGCCGCACACTCCGCTAGAGTCTTCGCCGCAGCAGCATCAGCTGCTCCACCCGCAGCAACACATGCAGCAGCAGCAGCACATGCACCAGCAGCACATGCAGCAGCAGCAACAGCAGCAGCAGCACATGCAGCAGCAGCAGCAGCACATGCAACAGCAGCCAACCTTAGGTGGCGCTGTATATATGCAAGAAGCATCACCTTGGGTTGCTGCAGCAGCTCTGGGGCTGCCGCAGCAGCAGCACATGAATTATGCTGCTGCTGCTGCAGCACCGCAGCAGCAGCGCAACAACAGCGACTCAAATGCTTCAGCAGCAGCAGCAGCAGCATCACCACCCGCAGGGTTTGCTGCTGCCTCGTACGCTCCTGCTGCAGCGGCAGGAGGAATGTCTGTCAACCCACAGCAGCAACAGCAGCAGCAGCAGCAGCAGTTGCTGGGCGGCCGCCACATGCAGGCGTACGGATCGATGCCCGCTCACGCTGCTGCTGCTGATCCAGCAGCAGCAGCAGCAGCAGGGGGGCCAGGCTCTCTTCGCTATTCTGGGGCCTATACATGCCCTCAGCCTGCTGCTGCTTACTATGGGCGCCCGGTGAGCAGCAGCAGCCCCTATCCTGCTGCTGCTGCAGCAGCAGCTGCTGCTGCTGCAGCGGGGTTCGCTGCTTTTGGGGGCCCGCAGCAGCAGCAGCAGCAACAACCGCACCTCATGACTGCAGGCCCACAGCAACAGCAGCAGCAGCAACAGCAGCAGCAGCAGCTGCCTCCTGGGATGCCTGCTGGTGCAGTGTGGGCCGCAGGAACTCCAGCAGCAGCAGCAGCAACAGGATCTCCTGCTGCTGCTGCTCAAGCTGCAGCAACAGCAGCAGCAGGCATGGCAGGCTCGCCTTATCCGGAGCAGCAGATGCAGCAGCATCAGATGCAGCAGCAGCAACTGCAGCAGCAACAAATGCAGCAGCAGCAACTGCAGCAGCAACAGATGCAGCAGCACCAGATGCAGCAACAGCAGATGCAGCAGCAGCAAGCTATGCTGCACTGGCAGCAGCAGCAACACCAGCAGCAGCGGCGCAACAGTCATTCTACTGGGTGGGGAATGCAGCAGCAGCAGCTGCCTGCTGCTGCTGCTGCTGCTGCTGTGCCACCACAGCAGCAGCAACAGCAGCAGGCGTACGTGCAGCAGGCTGTTTGCGCGGAGTCGCAGCAACAGATGCAGCCTCAGCAGCAGCAGCTGCAGCAGCCAATGCAGCAGCAGCACCACCACCAAGAGATGCTGTATCCTGCAGCACCGCATGCAGCAACAGGAGCAGCAGCAGGAGCAGCAGGAGCAGCAGCAGCAGCAGGCCCTGTGCCACGTCCTCAGCAGCTGCAGCAGAACATGGGCCCTTCTTCAGCACAGCGGAGCAGCAGCAGCAGCAGCAGCAGCGGCAGCGGCAGCAGTAGCAGCATCAGGAGGAAGCCTTTTGTGATGGAGGTGCCGCAGCAGCAGGGACTGCTGCTGCAGCGCAGCAACTTGTCTCTGCTGCAGCAAGAAGCAGCATGGATGGCTCGCGATTATTACTATGAACGGCGGTGGAAGAAGCAGCTGCTGCTGCGGCTGGGCAGCAGCGCAGCAGCAGCAAAACGTGTGAAGATGCTGCAGCAGCAGCAGGAAGAAAGGAGAGTCCTTGCTGCTCCCTGGGCAGCAGCTGTAGAGACAGTGTACATCGCTCTCTTGCGTCAGGTAAGCCTGCTGCTGCTGCTGCTGCTGCTGCGTGCTGCTGCGTGTGGTGCTGCTGCTCCTCCTGGTGCTGATGCTGCTGATACTGCGGCTGCTGCTGTTGCTGTCTGTTTCGGGTGCTGCTGGTGTGTTGCTGCTGCTGCGGCTTCTGTCTGTTGCTGGTTGGCTATGCTGCAGTTGTTTTGCTGCTGCGGGATCTACAGCCTCTGCTGCTGCTGCTGCTGCTGCTGCTGCTGCTGCACTTCAGGTGTATAGGGACCTTGTGCCTCCTGAATGGGCGTCGCTAGCAGCAGATATACCCCCAATCGATAATTGCCCGGGGCTTGAGGTGTATAGGCAGCTGGTGGAGCAGCAGCAGCAGAAGCAGCAGCAGCAGCAGGAGCAGCAGGATATTGACGAGGACGAGCTGCTGCCTCCTTTTTTGCAGCAGCAGTTGCCGCTGCAGCAGCAGTTGCTGCTGCAGCAGCTGCAGCAGCAGCAGGATGGCGGGGTGCAGCGGCAAGCGCTTATAGAGAAGATCAAGAGACAATGCCTCTTCCGCCTAGCAGCAGCAGGCAGCAGCAGCAGCCCTTGGAGGCCCCAGCCTCCTGCTGCTTGGGCGACGCAGTCTCCTCTTGCTGCTGCAGCAGAAGCACTGGTGCTGCAGCTTGAAAGCAACAGAGCTGCTAACACACAGGTTGGCTGCTGCTCATGCTGCTGCTGCTGCTGCTGCTTCGGCTGCTGTTGCTGACGACGTGCTGCTTCATCCTGTGCTGCTTCCGTCGGTCGTGTTGCTGCTTCTTTTGCTGCTTGTGCTGCTGCTTGCGCTGCTGCTGCTGCTGCTGTTGCGTGTGTTGCTGCTGCTGCTGTTGTTGCTGCTGTTGCTGCAGCAGTGTGCTGCATGTGTTCTGTTTTGCTGCAGCCGCTGCCTCCTCGTTACTGCCAGCTGTCTCCGCAGCTGCATGCATATCTCTTGTGTCTGTTAACGAAGCGGAAGCTCGAGTGTGAAGCTGCTGCTACTGCAGCAGCAGCACCAACTGATGGAGCAGCAGCAGCAGCAGAAACAGCAGCAACACCAGCAGCAGCAGCAAAGCAGCACCCGAAGGGGGCAATCCTAGTTAAAGAGGAAAGAGCGCTTCAATGTGAGGCCTTTTGCTGCTGCTGCTGCTGCTTTTGCTGCTGCTGCTTTTGCTGCTGCTGCTGCTTGTACAGCGTAGCTGTGTACACTGCTCATAGTTTTCTCACCTCGGTGGTACTGCGGTGCTGCTTTTGCTGCTGCTGCTGCTGCAAGTGCTGCAAGTGCTGCTAAGTTTAGGCCGAAGCTGCTGCTGCAGCAGCAGCAGCAAGGGCAGCAGCAGTTGCTGCTCTGGTTCACCTAATGCAAGCATTTCTATCTCTTTTGGGTGTGCGCTTGCAGCAACAGCAGCAGCAGCAGCAGCTAAGAGCAGCAGCAGCTGGAGCAGCAGCAGCTGGAGCGACTTGGAAGATGCTGCATGCAGCCGCACTTTAGATGACTGGCTGTATCATCAGCAGGAGCAGCTGCTGCAGCAGCAGCACCCATTGATATTGAATATGTTTGCTGCAGCGCCTGCTGCTTTTGTTGCTGCTGCTGGCTTACTAGAAAACCTGCAGCCCCTGCAGCCGCTGCAGCAGCACCAGCCCCGGAAGCGGCAGCAGCAGCAGCAGCAGCTGTTGCTACCACCAAAGCAGGCGGATGAAGAGCAGCAGCAGCAGCAGCAGCACTCAGCAGAAGCAGCAGCAGAAGCAGAAGAACGAAGGCAGCAGCAGATTCGCGCTTTAGCTGTCTCCTGCATGCTTGACAGTGTGCAGCAGCAGGGGGTGTATGTACACCCCGTGGAGTTGAGGCCTCCTCAGCTGCCAGTAGATCTCATCACGCTCCCTGCCTTCAGTGAGTTGCTGCTGCTGCTGCTGCTGCTGCTGCTGCTGGGGCTGGAGCAGTTGCTGTTGCTGCTGCTGCTGCTGCTGTAGGTGGGGCTGGAGCAGTTGCTGTTGCTGCTGCTGTTTATTTTGCAGCTGCCGCTGTGAGTAGTGGTGGTGTCGCTGCTTCTGCTGCTGCTGCTGATGCTGCTGCTGCTGCTGTTCCTGTGGGTGCCTGCAGCAACCGGCGGCTGCTGGCGGCGCTGCGTGCGGCTGCTGCTGCAGCAGTTCAGCAGCAGCAGAAAGACAGATGCTGCTGCTGCTCAGGGAGAGGCAGCAGCAGCAACAGCAGCAGCACCGATTGTGGGGGCGACAGCAGCAACAGCCGCAGCAGCACAGCAGCAGCAGCACGGGGCTGCAGCAGGAGCATGGGGATCAGCAGCAGCAGATCGAGGCGCTGCAGCAGCATATGCAGATACACTGCGGAGACAAGGGGCAGGCAAGATGTCTGTGTATGATGCGGTAAGCTGCTGCTGCTGCTGCTGGTGGTGGTTTTGCTGCTTTTGCTGCTTCCGGTGCTGCTGCTCCTGTGGCTGTGCTTTGTGGATTGGCACCAGCAGCTTTTGTGCCGCTGCTGCTGCTGCTGCTGCTGCTGCTGCTGCTGCCGCTTAGCAGCAGCCTCTTATGCTTTTTCTGTTGCTGCTGCTGCTGCTGCTGCTGTGTTTAGCGGGGACGGCGAGCGGGAGGAATGCCTGTAGAAGCAGCAGCAACGGAAGCCGACAGGGCAGCAGCAGCAGCCGCAGCTGCCGCTGCAGCTGCTGCTGCTGCTGCGCACGACAGCGAGACGCTGCTGCAGCGCCGCAGCCAGCAGCAGCAGCAGCAGCAGTGGGATCTGCACGAGTCTGCTTTGCTGCTGCACTTAGCGGGTCGTTTTGCTGGCAGCAGCAGCAGAAGCAGCAGCAGCAGCAGCAGGGCTTGGTTCTCATCAGCAGCATCTTTACCCCTCAAAAGCAGCAGCAGCAGCAGCAGCAGCAGCAACGATATTAACTGGGGTTTGGTTGCTAGTGCTTTGTCTTGCCTGGGATCGTGTGGGGGGATCGTCTCCAGGCTTCGTCTCCCAGATGAGTGCTGCAGACAGTACACTGTGCTGCTGCAGCATCTGCAGCAGCTCCGCCAGACGCCAAAAGATATGCGGCACCCGATGCTGCTGCTGCTGCTGCTGCAGCGGAGGTCTATTACTGCTGTTGATGTCATCGCTAAGGTTTGTTTTTTGCTGCTGTATACAAAATATAGCTTTTATTTATTTATTTTGTTTATTTATTTTATTTATTTATTTATTTATTTGTTCGTCTGTTTGTTTTGCTGCGATGTCGCTTTGTCTGTGCCCTCCAGTGGATGTGTCTTCCCTCTAGAGGGCTTAGGGCTTAGGGTTTAGGGTTTAGGGTTTAGGGTTTAGGGTTTGGGATTTGTGTTGTTGCTGCAGTGCCTTCCGGCTCATTGTTCGTTTGGTGGTTTTGCTGCTGCTGATCGGCACAAACCTTCATTTGAGTTGCTGCTGCCCCTGAAGCCTCGCCAGTTGCTGCTGCTGCAGCAGCAGCAGCAGCGGCGGCGGCAGCAGCAGCAGAAGCAGCAGCAGCTGATGCTGCTAGACCGCAAGGCGCTTCCAGGGCCTGGAGATATGAAAAGAGAGGAGGAGTCAACTACAACGAGCATAACAAGCAGCAGCAGCAACAGCAGCAGCAGCAGCAGCAGCAGCAGCACGAGTCCGTTCCTGCTGCCACCTGCTGCTGCTGTTGTGGTGGAAGGAGAAGAAGCAGCAGCAGCACGTGCTTTCTCGCTGCCCATTGACTTCGAGTCGGAGCTGCGGCTCTTCCAGAAGCTGCAGCAGCAGCAGCAGGAGCAGCAGCAGCAGCAGGAGCAGCAGCAGCAGCAGCAGGATGACTGTTGGATTTTGGCGCCTCGTATAAAATCGTATTCATTAGATTGGGCTGCTGCTTCCTCACGTGCGCAGCAGCAGCAGCAGCGGCTGTGGCTGGCGGAGGCTGCAGCAGCACCGTCAGCAGCAGCAGCAGCAGCAGCAGCAGCAGGTGCAGCAGCAGCGGAGGATCCAAATGAAGAAACGCTGCAGCAAGTACTCTCTTCCCTTTGCTCTCGTAAGGGTTTGCATTTAAGGCTGAGGGCTCGTGAGAAGAGGTACAGCAGCAGCAGCAACAGCAGCAGCAGCAGCAGCAGCAGCAGCAGCAGCAGCAGCTTGCCATCAGCAAAGAAGCGCAAGCAGCACTCCCTGTACAAGACCATCCATGGTAAGCTGCAGCAGCAGCAGCAGCAGCAGCAGCAGCAGCAGCAGAGCGCCTCGTCTTCCTTCGAGACTTTCGCCCCAGCCAAACCCTAAACCCTAAACCCTAAACCCTCGGTGTTTGCTGCAGACATGGGAGCGCATAGTGTCTCTGCTTGGGGTGTATCTGCCTGGGCCTTTCTTCATTCGTCTCCTCCCCCTCCTTCTGCAGAGCCCCCCGTTGACCCGCAGCAGGTTAGGGTTTAGGGTTTAGGGTTTAGGGTTTAGGGTCTGGAGGAGGAGGAGACTGGGGGCGGGGGGGAAAGGGTTTATTCAGCCGTCTGCACACGTATTAGGGTTTAGGGTTTAGGGTTTAGAGCTGGCTGTGAAGCATCAGCATCTCGGGGTTGACGTATGCTGCTCCTGCTGCTTCTGCTGTTGCTGCTGCTGCTTCAGTGCGCCGGGCTGCGAGCTGCAGCAGCAGTTATTTGCCGCTGCAGCAACAGCATGCGTCGGCGTCTCGCGGTGCAGCAGCAGCAAGAAGCCCTTCATATCCGCAGCCTTCTTCCCGCTGGTAGGGTTTAGGGTTTAGGGTTTAGGGTTTAGGGTCTTGCTGCTGCTTTCGGGTCGCCCAGACGTAGATGATTGCGGTGGGCGGAGGGAGTACAGGCTAGGGTTTAGGGTTTAGGGTTTAGGGTTTAGGGTTTAGGGTTTGTGCTGCAGGCGCGGACCCGAAGCTGATAACTCCTCCCCACCCTTCTCACCACAACCTGGCGAAGCAAGCGCGCCGCCACTTTGTACGTGCAAACCCTAAACCCTAAACCCTAAACCCTAAACCCTTTTCAATCCCTAAACCCTAAACCCTGCTCAAATCCTAAACCCTAGATGCTGCTTCAACATAGAGCACGAAGCCCTTGTTAGACTCGCGTTTACCCTAAACCCTACGGTGCGGAGGGGGCTTGAGGGTTTAGGGTTTAGGGTTTAGGGTTTAGGGTTTAGGGTTTGTGGCTTCAGGCGCTGTTTGAAAGAGGCGAGAAGGCAGCAGAGACAGCAGCAACAGAAGCAGCGAAGCCAGCGTCGTCAACGCCTGCAGCAGCAGCAACAGGAGCAGCAGCAGCAACAGCAGCAGCACCAGGAGCAACAGCAGCAGCAACTGCTTCGCCAGCAGCAGCAACATCTCCTGCTGCTGGTGCAGCAACAGCAGCAGGCGACGCTGCAACAGGAGCAACAGCAGCAGCTCCAGCAGCAGCTGCTGCAGCAACACCCCCTACCGGCCCAGCAGCCTCAGCAGGTTCTGCTGCAGCAGCAACAACGCCGGCTGGTGCAGCAGCAGCAGCAGCAGCAACCTTGCTGCCTTGGCTGCAGCTCGCCACGCATGCATTGCAGCGGGGGAGGCAGCAGCAGCTGCTGCTGGGCCCGCAGCAGTTCAACGGGGGTGGTGTTAGCCCTGCAAACCCTCGGAAGCCTCAGCTACCTGTAAACCCTAAACCCTAAACCCTAAACCCTAAGGCAGTAGCAGCAAACCCTAAACTCTTTAGCAGCAGCAACAAACCCTAAACCCTCTCCAGGAGGCTTAGAGACATGTGCATTAGCCTACGTGCTGCGCCCGTCGAGGGTTTAGGGTTTATGGTTTAGGGTTTGGAGTCTGGGATTTAGGGTTTAGGGTTTAGGGTTGAGAGTTTGTGCACTCAGGAACAGTACATCTTGGCTCTGCAGGGCAGAGGAGGCGAGGAGGGTGCTGCTGCTGCTGAAGGGAAATCAACAGCAGCAGCAGCAGCAGCAGCAGCAGCAGCATCAGCATCTGCAGCAGCAAGCACGGCAACGCCGCAAGGACCAGCAGCAGCAGCAGCAGCAGCAGCACAAGCAGCAGCAGCACCATCTGCTGCGGGTTTGCCTCAGGATTCCTCACCTTCGGAGGCGATGAGGGAGCAGCAGCAGCTGCTGCCGCAGCAGCAGCCGATGCTCCAGCAACAGCAGCAAATGCTGCAGCAGCAGCCAATGCTACAGCAGCAGCAGATGCTGCAGCAGCAGCAGATGCTGCAGCAGCAACAACGCCCCACTGCTGGTACGCAGTTCATAATATTGCTGCAAGCACCGTCTATAAGCTAGGATAAGCTAGGTTAAGGGTTTAGGGTTTATGCTCTAGGGTTTAGGGTTTAGGGTTTAGGGTTTGTGGTGCTTGTGCAGACTTCGTGGCTGGAGGCACCATGGAGGGAGACTCAGCAGCAGCAGCAGCAGCAGCAGCGGGAGCGCCTCTGCTACCGCAGCAGCAGCAGCAGCTCTTGAGTGAACACATGCAGCAGCGGCAGCAGCCGCAGCAGCAGCAGCAAATGGCGAGAGTGCAGCCAGTGCAGCACCAGCAGCAGCAACAGCCGCAGCACATGCTTCCAGGGGGACCGCTGCAGCAGCAGCAACACCTCCTGCCGGCCCCACATCAACAGCAGCAGCCGCTGTTGCAGCAGCAGCAGCAGCAACAGCTGCGGCAGCAGCAGCAGCAACAGCCGCATTGGGTTGCAACGCAGCAGCACGCGGTTCCTATGCTGATGCAACAGCAGCAGCATATGCTGCTGCAGCAGCACCATCAGCCCTTAGCCTATAGCAGCAAACCTCATTTACCTCAGCAGCAGCAGATGGAGGGTGCTTATGACTTGCAGCAGTTGCAGCAGCAGCAGCTGCAGCAGCAGCAGCTGCAACAGCAGCAACTGCAGCACCAGCAACTGCAGCAGCAGCAACTGCAGCAGCTGCAGCAGCAGCAAATGTTCTCGCGTCCTCCTTACGTGCAGCCGCAGCAGCAGCCACAGTCAGGTGAGGATGCTGCTGATGCAGCGCAGCAGCAGCAGCAGCAGCAGCAGCAGCAGCAGCAACAGTACCAGAGGCCAATGTACATACAGGCCCCTCCGCAGCAGCAGCAGCTGTCTCCCTACCCTACTGCAGCAACACACCTCACACAGGCAGCAGGAGCAGATGGAAATCTGCAGCAGCAGCAGCAGCAGCAGCAGGCGCTGGGCGGTACTCCGATGCAGCCGTTTTCGCCGCAGCAGCTGCAGCAGCAGCAGCAGCACCAGGTGTATCTGCAGCAGCAAGCTGCCTTTCAGGCTGCTGAAGGACCTCAAAGGCACTTCTCGCCGCAGCAGCAGCAGCTGCAGCAGCAGCAACTGCAACAGCAGCAGCTGCAGCACCAGCAGCTGCAACACCAGCAGCTACAGCAGCAGCAGCTGCAGCACCAGCAACTGCAGCAGCAGCAACTGCACGCGCAGCAGCTGCATCCGCAGCAGCTGCACCCGCAGCAGCAGCAGCAGCAGCTCATGTGTCACGAACAGAATGCATTTGCTGCTCAGCAGCAGCAGCAGCAGCAGCGTTTTGTTGCAGCAGCACCGCAGCACCCGCAAGCCCGCTTTGCTGCTGCTGCTGCTTTGCCTCAGCAGCAGCAGCAACAACGCCTGCCGCAGCAGCAGCAGCAGATGCAGCAAGCTGCCTACCCGACGCAGCAGCAGCAGCAGCAGCCAGGCTACTATCCTGTTGGCATGCAGCCGCAGCAGCAACTTAATGGTACTGCAGCAGAACTGCAACACTTGCAGCAGCAGCAGCAACTGCAGCAGCAGCAACTGCAGCAACAGCAAATGCACCAGCAGCACATGCAACAGCAGCAACTGCAGCAACACCTGCAGCAGCAGCAGCTGCAGCAGCAACAGTTTCGACAGCAGCAGCTTCAGCAGCAGCAGCACCTGCAGCATCAGCAGCTGCAACAGCTTCAGCAGCAGCAGCTCCAGCAGCAGCCGCAGCACTTGCCGCAGCAGCACCAGATGCAGCAGCAGCAACTGCAGCAGCAGCAGCAGCACCTGCAGCAGCAGGGGCTGTCTCCTGCAAGCCAGAGACAGCTGTCTACAGGCAGCAAGAGCAGCAAAAGTTCATCGCGTTCTAAGAGGCCGCAGCAGCAGCAATCGAAGGGTGCTGCTGCTGCAGCTGCTGCAGCAGCGGAGCAGCAGCAAACTGCTGTTGTTGGTGCTGCAGTTGCTCCAGGCGCTTTGCATGCATCTCAAGGGGCGGGAGGAAGTATTCCTGCTGCTGCTGCTCAGCAGCAGCAGCAGCATTTGCAGCACCAGCAGCGGCTGCAGCTGCAGCAGCAGCATTTACAGCAACAGCACCAGCTACAGCACCACCGGCAGCTGCAGCAGCTTCAGCAGCAACAGCTGCAGCAGCACCAGCTCCAGCATCAGCAGCTCCAGCACCAGCAACTGCAGCAGCAGCAGCTCCAGCAGCTGCAGCAGCAGCAGCAGCTGCAACAGCAGCAGCTACAGCAGCAGCAGCTGCAGCAACAGCCCGAGTACGGGGTCCACGCATTTGCTGCGCATCCAGTCGGCTATGTTGACCCGCAGCAGCAGCAGCAGCAGCAGCAGCAACAGCGTCCTACTGCTGCTCGCCCCGCCGGCGCTTGACTATAGGGCAACCGCTCCCGCTAGCTAGCTAGCTAGCTAGCTAGCTAGCTGGCTAGCTCTGGCTAGTTTGCTGCCGCTAGCTAGCTAGCTAGCTGGGGACCTCTGGGTAGCTAGCTGTGACTAGCTGGAGAACTATTGGATCCCTACGTCGTGGCTAGCTTTGACTATCTTGCTGTTGCTAGCTTGCTAGCTGTAGCTAGCTAGATAGCTAGCTGTAGCTAGCTAGATAGCTAGCTGTAGCTAGCTAGCTAGCTAGCTAGTTAGGTGGCAGGCGAGGCCTTCTCCGTATCCCTCGCGGTTGCCTTGCTTGTGTAGATGGACCTGAAGCAGCTGCAGCAGCAGCAGCAACAGCAGCAGCAGCAGCAGCAGCAGCAGCCTGCCTAGGAGGCAGGCTTGCTGCGCTGCAGCAGGAGTTTACTGGGGCTGCGCGAATTCCTTTTTGGCGCCTTCCTGTCTCCACCGTATAAACCCTAAACCCTAGGCTTTAGTCTAAACCCTAAACCCTAGGCTTTAGTCTAAACCCTTAACCCTAGGCTTTACTCTAAACCCTTAACCCTAGGCTTTACTCTAAACCCTAAACCCTAGGCTTCAGTCTAAACCCTAGAACCTAGGCTTTAGTCTAAACCCTTAACCCTAGGGAAATGTCTAAACCCTAGACCCTAGGCTTTAGTCTAAACCCTTAACCCTAGGCTTTAGTCTAAACCCTTAACCCTAGGCTTTACTCTAAACCCTTAACCCTAGGCTTTAGTCTAAACCCTAGACCCTAGGCTTTAGTCTAAACC